GAAAAAATGAATTTTGCCAATTTTTCTCTCACTGTGTCCGGATATTGTGCATAATGACGATCAGTTTTATAAATTTTCTGATTGTACAAAGTTTTCTCAAAAACGCTCACTTCACTTTCACCCCACCACCTACATTTTGTGCTATTTTTCTAGTCCCTCTGCCAAAAATGTCCGTTTAGACCGTTCTTTAGGCTAGTGATATTTACTCATAGATATACCCATATACACGTATGCACAACCTCTCAAAACAATCATTCATACTTGTTTGTTATGGACACGATAGCTTTGCTGCTGCGATACGTCGTACCAACCCGAAAGTTTCAAGGAGTTGCTTACGCCATATTGCAATGCACCTCTCGCTTTCTCAATCTATTCCAGCTGCTGTTCAAGCCGTTTGCCACCTTTTCAACAGGTCAGATCGTGCTATACCGATCGAAGGATATGGCTCACACTAGGTGTAAAGAACCTTCGGCCTCAGGCTCAAATTCGCTCGGGACCAATCATTTGGTCCTGCCAGCAGCCAATCGCGGTGCCGCTCTTTCTAGACGTCACACTTGGGCGTGTGACGTCATGCAGGGAGGTGTTAATGGTGGCACCTTAAGAGATGGCGGACGCTGATTGGCCAAAAGCCGCGAAGAGGAGGCGGAGCCTTCGCACGCCGTACATCTGGTTAGCGCAAGGGGGGTGGGGGGGCATTTCGTTACCACAACTGGCAAAACAAACGTGTAACGACAGCTACAGAAGCAAAATCAACAGCGCTAGCTACCACTATGAAGTACGCCAAAGCCGCACTCACCGAGAGCCAGTTCCAGCCAATACGTGATGGGGCAGCACACTACAGACAGTATAATTTCGCTGTCGTTGATACGCACGCTCAAGAACTAGACTGGCCAGCAACTTAGCGCTGCTGAAGCGTCATCCGTCGGCGGTGCACATCGGCGTGCTGACCCGTCAAGGCAAGTCAGCGCGTGCGCCAGACGGAATGAAACGAGACTGTATTTATTGCTGCGATTGCAGCAGGAAACTGAGTATAATAGGGACAGAAAGGAGAAGCACACATTATCAACATCCAATACAATACTCTATCCTGGAACGAAGGTAACGCTGTTCACGCAGTCAGATAGGCTGTAGACTGAACTAGACGTGTTGATCGTGCAGCTACAATGTACGGTATAATGATTTATCATATATATACATAAGGAAGGGCCTTTTTTAACGGTGATTACTATGTGGAAAATCTTTTTCATTAGGCACTTTAAACAACTTTGGTAGGAATGTAGAATTTTATTTCTTACAAGATGAGGCACCTGCACTTACCATCATGATGAAAATCTTCTAAATACGTAGATAGGATAAAAAGGTTTCGTAGATTACCCTGATCGATCTTCAGATCTGATTCCTTTATTGTGAGAATACCTCTAAGGTAAACTTCATGCCAGCAAACTAACGACGCTGGAAGATTTAAAGTCACTATTGGGTTTGTAAATCGACAGTCCACGAATACCAGGCGTGTATTGACCATAACGGTATTAATTTTGAAACTCTGCGGTTGGAGAAAGGGGTATATATTTTATGGAAATTTTTTGCAATTCAAATATAAATTATATTCGAATAGAAATACGTTACAGCATTCAAACTGGGCGCGTATAGCACACCCTATACACACACACACACAATGCAACACCTAAATTGGGATTTATTCATATGGGTTTTTTTCCTAATACCTATTCTCTACGAATTGTCTATATGTATGTCATCCTTCACCGGCATGTTTATTCAATACAGCCACCGTTCACTATGGTTACAAGCTTACTTCGAGTTTTACACTGTTCACAGATTTGTTTCTTTGCAATTTTGCAAATGGCGGTATGTTGATGCTTGTTGAAACGTCGCTTAGTAACGCTCCATGCGGAGCAATTCCGCTAAAATCAAAACTCTCTGTATGTGGTCATTCCAGAACATGCTTAAGCTTTCAAGCAGCCAGGTTAATCGGCTTGTACAAGCCAGAAGATTTATCGTCTTTTTTTAAATGCTCAAATTGCACAACAGTTTGTACCAACACGAATGCAGTATCTGCAGTAATGGGTCCGTCTTTCCGGAAGAAGTATAGTGGCATGATGTCTTCTGCGCTTGGCATTACACTCAGAACTCGAACTTTGGCCAGCAATGAAATCAGCGATTGTTTCTGCATCCGGAATGGAAGAAGAATTATTAAACAATAATCGGAAACGACCTGCTATATCATTCGTCCAGCAAACAACCTTCGTAACATTTCTGGATTAAACTGTTCCAGAAAGCATTTGTCTGACTTTTATGACACAGGACGTATACCTGAGGTCTTCGTAAATAGTCCATGACATCATATGCCCATTCACGTCAACTTTCTTCACCAACGTCCTGATCAGTACAGAAAGATCACTAGAAATTCAGTTCTGGAGGGCTGAGTGTAACGTGAAAATTCGCTCTTTCCGCTCTCTGCCGTGGATTTTCTATTGCGCAGTGTTGGAATTTACCGCTGCTTCTTTTGCAACTGCCCACCCTCGTTGCAACGCAAGACTCTGTCGATCTCGGGTGACCCAAGAAGTTTATAATCTCGATGGGGGGGGGGGGTCGTTTAGCTCGTGAATTCGCGCAGATTCGGAAAACGACAGCTGTCGTTTGTCTTAGGAATTTTGCTGGCGTTTGGTTGGTACCAAGAATAGCAAACAACTGCATGTCAAAGTTCTCTAGAATTTAGGTGCTGTACATTTGTTAGACACGTGCATGCTTTGTTAGACCATGCTATCTTTGTCTGTGTTAACGCGCAAAGTATCGGTCCCATGCTTAATACCAGTAACCAATCAGTGCTGAAGTGGCAATCATCGCCGAGTGATAACACTGACCAACCGCTGTGGATCCGGATCGTTGAGGTTGGGTCAGCAGCAGTGTTGACGGCCCAGCACGTTCTCACGCAACAATGATGGCGCGACGTGTTCGCCGTTGACGCGGGAGGACCCGTCGGATAGCATCCGCGACCGAAACGGCAATCAAGCCACTATGCATTGACTATCCTCTCAGTAGCGACTTTTTACTTCTGTTTTCGGTGAACAGAAGGGTCTTGTCCGATACGCCGACGTCGGCTGGCATAGTCACATACGCTGAATCGGCATTCGGAATCGACATAGTGCCAGGAGACAGTTGTAGTTTTTCTTCTTATCGCCTACATCGTTCATGGTAGTCCCAACCCCAATGGCGGAACGTTACCTTTATCGTTGTCATCCAGACTACGATTACGACGACAATGGCGTTGTTCTATCTGACTAGTGTTATTACCATTATGAGGTGTGGATATGGGCAAAGCTGTTACGTTTTTCTAGCAAAACAGTGAAGTTGAATATACATAATTTTACTTTCATCTAAAACCACTCTCGTTACCAAATCTGTTTCTATTGTCAGTTTATAATGTAAAGTGTGTGGGAAGTTCCATTGTAATCAGACAGTAATAATAATATTCCAATCAATATATAGTTGTATATTGAAAAATCACTAATTGAAGTTGGATCAATCGGCGTTATTATCGCTCCAAGTGCCATCATTTATAGAGGACTATTACACGAATCTTACAAATGGTATTGCTTCTCCATAGTAATGCTAATAAAACCGTACAGAATCTTCAATTAAGCAGAGTTAAGATGGTAAAGTTGTGCCTAAAAAGGCAAAAACAAATTGCTCAAGCTCTTACTGTGCTTACAGCTAGCTAGATGAAACGCTCAAGAAAGCACAGAGATGTTATGTAACTTCATGAATTTAAGCACAAATGTAAACTCAAAACAAAGCAGAGTTGAGGTTAGCGCTCACACTGTTCCTCAATTACGAACAGATGTAAGTATTACAGATATTAACATCTCTCCCCGATAATATCTCTACGAATCACGGTATATAAGATCTATTGTTTGTTGTTACCTGATTCTATTGTGTAATCTTTTGTGGCGTAATTTTTCATTCCAGTAAAAAGTGCACAATTATGCAGTCATCAGCAAGATGCACAGAGCCGTAAGACACACAAATATTCAATTTCACGGTTTAAATCAAAGCTCGTTCGAAACGTAGCATCCGATCTCTGACCTATTTCAGAGATACTCAGAGCCAACGAAAACAAGCTTACAGGCGATCTGCGGCTGTGGAAGCGTGCTGGTCTCTATGGGGCTATGTACAGAGGAAAATTAAATACAGTTACACATTTTAATTTGCTATATCACGTATTATTTAACGCTTGGCTCACGTTACCTAATACGATCTTTAAGTATAGAAATATCTCCAAGTAGTCCATCCCACATGTAGCATTTGCTTTGATTTTTCTATTTACCTTGTCTCATGCTTTATCAAAGCAAGCAGTCTCTTAATTTGAAATTGTATCAATGTTATTTTCATTATAGATACTTCAAATGGAAGCTAAACCACTACGATCTGTCAGTAGTTTTAACGAAAAGTATTACAATTTTTTTACTGTTGGCGAAAAATGATCTCTCTAAATCGATCAGGCCGCAACGAATCTTTTTGAGCTTAGCAACAATTGCCTGAAGGATACGTACTGACTGAAACACACGCCAAAGGGTACCATACGTTGACGACTTAACAGCACACGATAATGACGATACGACTAGAGAGTGCGGTAGTTCATTATTTCATAGTCGTTCTGAACTGGACGCCTTTCCGCTTGAATAACATACCGGTCAATTCACCAACATTCTAGCGAGCTCGACCGGATGTGACAATAGAACCTTGAATCTAGATGATTTAAACCACAGTCAGCAGATGTGGGAACATCAATGTCAGACGCTTTCCTATATTTATTGATTGATTTTGGCAAGGACCACAGCTGAGTTGCCTTTGAATTAAAAGGAAAGTGCCGCTATCGAATGTATGGCTCCAACATGGAGTTAATAGCTTCCATGTCAATAGGCATCGATGTCTAACCTAATGGAAGTTTACCTATCTGTATATATATGTATACTACGTACCTTCCAGATTTTGTGACAACCATCTCCGTTCCTAAAGCGTGAAACTTTTCCCATAGATCCTTAGCTTCTAAAGTAACTTCTGGATCGTCCCTCACACCGTCGTCCTTTGTCGGCGTGGTAGTCCCAAGACAAGGCGAAGACGGTGTTGGCGCAATCGGAGTTAGAGGAGCCGATGGCATACCCAGCATGCCTGGAGCACCAAGACCCAAACCGACACCCATGCCCAAACCAAGTCCTGCGAGTCCCCAGGGAACCCCCAGGGGTCCGGCGAAGTTAGCCTGTTGATGGTGGTGGTGGTGGTGGTGCTGCTGCTGCTGCTGCTGCTGCTGCTGCTGCTGTTGTAGTATTAACTGCTGATAGTATTGATGGTACAGTGGTGATAGAAGAGGTGGTGGAGGCGGTGGAGGCGCCGACGGGAGCTGTGCCGGGGATGCTGTATCTTCGAGTAATGAACGAACACTGAAATCACGCGGTCGCCGTGGTGGCGAGGGACTAGCCACCATGGATACCCCTGGCGTCGAGGTGGCCTTTGAAGTAGCCTCCTCCATGTCCATCGCGGTACGCGATCGCGGAGGTATGTACAGCTTTCTACTAGATCATCGTTCTCCGTCAATAATCAAACCACCGTAAAGTCCTTACAAGATTACATAAAACAGATGAGAAGCAGAACTACTAGGGCCACTTTTAAGATACAACAATGGAGAAGCACTCACTAACACATGAAGCACATGGGTTTACAACAGTCCGAAGTAGTTCCGACCTCTGTAGAGGTGGGCTCTGCTTCGATTGTTGCCTGGACGGCAGATCCTTATGTACATCACAACTTTAGTTTGTAAAAGTGTTTATGAGTAAACGGTGTTTAGCAATGGAACGGTTCGTATGCAGCAGCTCGTTAAAATTCCTCTCCCTGCCGTAAACGAGCAGCGAGTTTCACCTTGAACTTCAAAAATCAAACAGTCATTTACCCCACTTGACACCCCAGTTGACTTTTGTATAGTCCTATTCGTCTCAGCTGACCATTTCAGCGTTAAACAAACACTTTGCGACGGTCGTTATTGCTGTTTCAGACATGGCTGTCGCCTTTTTGTGTAAGTATCATCTGTGCCCGGACATCACCTCCACTGCACGATTTGCTATTCCACAGTGATCTCTTTTACGGCCGCCTTCGTCAATGCCAACTACACAGATTATCATTCGCGGTACACGTGAGTCGAGTTCACGTTAAATACAAGGGTCGACCTTCTATGTTTTAACCTTTATCCTACCGCAACCAATTAACAGTACACCCAGTTCAATAGGGTTCGTCATCCGAAAGCGCTAATTTTGCTTAACTATTGCATTCGCAAGGTTAGCGCTTATCGTTCCCATTATAGCCGTTTAGCGAACGGTGATGCTCGCTGAATCCGACCAGAATGACCAGGGTTTACGATAGCCGCTGGTTGATGACCAGAGTTTACGTGCTCCTGTTTGTTGTTTGCACTTTCGACGACACCAACAACAACAACAACAACAACAACAACAACAAAAACAACAACAATAGCAACAAGGACGAGCAGCTCCTTCGACTGACGACTGGCAACAGAGATTTGTCTTGATCGGCGTCTTAGTCTTGCTCGATGACGTTAGCTTAACCTGTGTTGAATCGTCGCTTATTCTATGCTTTGTCTTCGTAGGTCTGTCGATTGGGCCGCCGCTTTTCAGTATCGCCTATTCGTCTCTTTTGCAGCGCCAGTTCTCGACTAGCTCTGTAGTAACGCCGGTTGAATGCTGGCTTCTTCGTCCGCTCGAAGCCTGGTGTTCGTTTCGCCCGACCAACCGACCGACCGACCGACCGACCGCTGTCGGCTGAACGAATCGCCAGCGCCAGGGAGTATTCTCTCTCTCGTCCGCTGCGTTCTTCTCTGTTGCATACACAAACAACAGCAGCCGCTACAAGAGTACTACGAACAGGCGGCTACGTCCTTTACGAAAAGCATCAACAATACCACGTAGAGCCATAGGGACGGAAGCAAATGCTATCGACAGCAGCAGCCCACCAGCAGTAGCTTAACGTAGCCACAACACGACGCGGCGCACAGCGAACCCGACCCCGTAATCGAACGCACAGCCGCCAACGGCAATTGCTGTGGAAGCCGCGGCGGCGGCCGCGGCGGCAGCTTTAGCTACAGCCGCCTCAGCAGCAGCAGCGGCGGCGGCGGCGGCGGCTTCGAGAAACACGGAGGGACAAAGCGATCACATGCTGAGCCACCAAGAGGCGGTGCCACGATCTCGTTGTGCTGCTATTCAACAGCATTCGATAGAGAGGGTCTGTCCATGTGTTTGCACAGGATGCCTTCTATACGCGGCCCGCTGTTGGCTCGAGCTTTGCGGCTGGCACGAACATCGGCCGAGCGCCTTGTGCTGCTACCGGGCGAGTGGCTCGCAGCGCCATCGCGCGATGGTGAACGGAAACTTGCGCGAATCGGTGCAAAGGCTGAGTGAGACTCGTGATGCCGCTGGCTGTGGTGGTCTAGCAGCGTCGGTAATTTGCCATTGCCGTGGTGAGAGAACTACCGTTCGCAATGGTTCCACTTTAAATCGTGACAGAAATGCAACTGTGGTAGTCGTTTTGGAGGGCGAGGTGTGGGTACGGTCGATACTTCGTATTTTCTAGTAATAATTGTGCTGCCGCCGGGCAGGAGTATTTAGGGAAACGAGCTTTATCGAGTAGGGCCTCGCCTACCTTTGTGCGGCATCGTAAGATACGGAATCAACCTGATATGTTCTTATTCAACTGTCAGTAAGCAGACGGTAGACCCTAGAATACGGTGCAATGGTTAGAACAAGCGTCACACCAGCACCGGTAGCAGCAGTCGCTTTTGGAAGTACTAGCCACTCCATTCTCGATACGGCCAAGACTGATTAAGTGTCTATAAACGCAGTCCTTCATGAAGGGGTCGACATATCGAAATTTCGTCGAATAGTGCAAAGTTTCGTACGCAGAACATGCGTGGGTGACGGTACGCGTAACATATCCACTTACAGGTCTTTTTCATTTCCTTGTTATTGTTTGTTGTTTTTCCAGTTACATTTGATTTGCTCTGGTGAGTATTTCTTGACGACGAGATAGCACCGATGTACATATGAGGTGATTCTTCGTTCCTATAGGGCTTAAGCATTTTCGAATCCGACACGTAACTGTAAAGGTATTCTGTTGTTGATTGGATAGCATGCAGTGTCGTTGTCAAGCCCTCGAAGCCTTGATTTTAACTTAGCCATAAGTACAAATTGGGTTAGTCAGGTGTAAGAAACGGTGAATTAGAAGTTCAATGTATAATTCGCGACTCGCTCGGAGTTCTCAGATGAGAATCAAGCTTGGCTTTTCATGGCAAATTATTTCTGTTAGTTTAAGTATGAATTTGTCGCGCCACAACAATCATGATAGAAAAAAGCATTCATGCATTTTTTTCTAGCAAGAATTAATGTCTGTCAGCAGATAGGCAATTTTTAACAGTCGGCTTATATGGACTCATTGAGCGCATCTGGTTATGACACATACGTATTTGCGTGTACGGTTGAAACCATATTACTATTATGGGTTTCATAATAAAAACATCTAACAATGTTTGCTTCGGAAACCGACTTCTTTTTTTTTGAAAATCACGGAGTTTATACTCAACTTTCAGTTAGTATTTTTTGAAAATGAAAATTCTTTACTTCAAATAGGAAACGCCAGAAGTTGTAGTAAGTTAAACGCTGTTAATTAGTTATTAATTGGGCGACAGTCAGGACAACCCGTTGTGTCAGAGAGAAAGTTAATAAGGCTTCAGTTATCCTAACATTGCTATTGTCGGCTAAGTTCATATCCACTTACGTTTAGCTTTTGTGAGTCGTGTTTGTTCTCTGTTTCAGTCAGTCTATACAGTACAATAGTGCGTCACGATCTATCATCACCCTTACAAATTCGTTCAGGGCTTCCACAGGGCTCCCTAAAAGAACCACATACAGTTCATCACAGCACCACTTATTAATTGTTTAATTGACAGCACTTGCGAGAAGTGATCGTGCAATAAAGACTGACATTGGCATTCGCATTTCCATTATATGACCAGTATCGGCCGTACGTTTGCGAGATCGGCCACCTACGAAACGACACTTATGATTTAGGACTAGAGTCGACTGGCAGATTCGAAGAAAAGCCGATACTTCGATACCAAGTGATTCGATAATCTGCTGAAGAAAGAACCGCCCAATTCAAAATTGGAAACTAAGCTTTTAAGACCGTCCTGTCCGGCCGAACTTGAGAACGGTATACCAAGAAGGCAGTCAAAGACAAGAAGGTCTCCCTGCATCATTACTGATGTTCTTGTTGGTAAATTTATGTATCAGCAATGTAACTTGGTTTGAAGTGATCCAATTCCATATAAGATGCGCCTTATTTGAATAGTTTCAAAGGTATATATTCATTTAGCTTATAGTATGAATATTTCAGATAATTCATTCTAAGGTTTGTCTTCCGCTAGCATTCATGCAATCATCTTCAAAATAGAACGAATTTAATGGGGTAGCCTTTGTGTGACGTAAAGACAAACAACAGAAAATATTAAGGTACCGGAGAGAGCTGTTCGAAAATGAGCTAGGTCGATCTTATATATGGCGTACTATGACGACTTAATATTTACGCGGTTAAGCTTAACGCTTCAAAGCTCAGCTCACAAGCTGCAATCCACCACTCATCATTTTAAGTTCGATTATAATATATATATATATATATATATATATATATAATAAAAAATAGAAATAGTAATGTAAAAATAAGAGTCGATAACGCTAGTAGCTAGCATAATATCAGCTGACTGGGTTCTGGTGAAAATTGGCATAACTTTAAGACGCTTATAGAATTTTTTTTTATATAATTAATACAACACTCTTGATACTAGCAGTTAGACTTTACAGGTTTTCTTAGGGAAATCAAGTGATAGACAAAGCGAATACATGATAATTGTTGTCGGATTTGCAGAAGATAAATTGCAACCAAAACGTACATGTACCGAGAAAATTGATAACGTTCCGTCGGTCTTCACTGATTTGACTTTTGTCTGTCAGGTGATAGCGGCTACATCAATGCGGCAAAGATGTATATTAAGTAAGTTACAACGGCACTATCAGAGTTGGCCCTATAGGCAGGACATAAAAAAATCTTAATTCAGACCACTAGTTCAACTGTAATAATGCTGCAATGGAAAAGTTTGTTAGGATTGGCTTACAGTTGCGCGGTACTTTTCTCTTTCATAGAAAAGTTTTGAGATACCCTATTATATTAGGCAACTGTTTTCTCTATTTTCTAAACGAATACTATTTTCATAATATGGGACGTTCAGGACAGGTAATAACGTACTGTTAGCAACGTTAGACGTATATCTCTAATTGCAGTTACACGTCCGATAAATGTAAACCGAATCCATGAAAACACTGCACACCCAAGTAAAGCTACTGAAAACACAAAGCATTATACATGCTTGTATGAACAGTTCTGGGAGGTTAGCAATATGTTTGGTTAATTCCCAGCTTGTTTTCGTTGTTACGTAGTTACAAGAGGCTTTTTAGTACCTGCCTTTGTATAGATTGGGTTATATAAAGTATCGTTACGCCGTCAGTTACGTAAAAAACTACGGCCAAGATACCAAGAACGCGCATTTTTTTTCAGATAAACGCCTTAAAGGTCGAGTCCGATATTTACGCTAGCTATCGCTTCAGATGACTGGTCGCTTCGAACACGAAGTTTTGTAGATGCACACGTGACCACTGCATACCATTACGAGCACAAGACCAAAAACCTAGCCATATTTCCCTTGAAAAAAACTGTTCTACTCAGCCAGAACTCTATGCCCAAATAATCTGAACCACGACGATAAAGTGGGCACCAGACATGTCGTCATGCTCAAAAGTTTAAAATTTGCTGTTAATATTAACGAAACAGTAGTTTGTACATGAAGGAATCACGCCTGTCGTATTGTCTCGATAATCGTCAAAATAATTTTAACGGCTCTTATCAAACCGAACGCATTAGAAATAAAATTCAAATGACGAGAGATGCTGTAGTAATTCCATCCTTATTCCGCTATACCGCGCGATCACATCTGCCAGACTCTACTACTGAGTTTGGTAGAATTAAATATCTTTACAGCTAGAGAAGAAAAATAAGCATATACTTTATTGATCTATGGATAAAGGTCTCGCTTTGCGGACACGTTAAATATCGTGAAATATGGGGCCGTACCTGAGATGACCTCGATCGCTCGAGGAGGGCCAGTAGCAAACAAACTATCGTTAAAGCTCGAAGTCCCTGGTCCAAGCTCGGGATCACAGTCCACGTTAAAATATTAATTATATTAATCGCAACCTGATCTACCAACGAGATCGCAATGACGAATGTCTACTTCTCATTCAAATATGTTACCGAAACTACAAAGAAAAGCGGATATAAAAATACACCAAGTATACTCAGATGCATTCATAATTATTTCAATATAAGGACATCTAGTTTAGGAGACAGATCCGGTCACATAAAATCGCCATATGTTATCGAATCCATAATGGTTTCGTGGGAAGGCTTGTTCTGGCAGGCAAACAAATCTTGCATTTACTGTATTTTTTTTTTACCAGTTCTATCGGCACATCTGAATTTTTAATACTTTTTTGCTAAGATACATATCTACGTAAATAATGACAAGCATTTTTTGCTTTCATTAGTTTAGCTTTATTTACGCGTAGTACAGATCTAGCTATTACAGAAACTGCATGATGGTAATACCAAGAGTGTTACCATTAACAATCGTTGCCCTGTAACATATATGTGCATTCATTTAAGAAATATTTAAGTTCGATTTGATTTGGTTGAACATCCTAATATGTACACACTCTGAGGAAAATAGGTGACATGAATTAGAGCTAACGCTACCGTATACCCACGGAGCACGAATAGACGACTACGGATACTTTTTTGCCTGCGTTAACTGTATACGGGCATGGACAGCTGCTTATACATTAAGCAGGTTGCTCAAGCGCCGTTGCACAAGAAGTAATCAACTACATATTAAAAATATATATGTATCTATTATAGACCGAAATGTTTGCAGACGATGGCGAGGCACATGTTTTGGAAACTTACTCGGCATTTGTTA